CCCCAAAACCCCAAAACCCCAAAACCCCAAAACCCCAATCTTTACCAGAATAATTGAATTTTTTAGTATCAAAGTTAACTTTTTAATCTCATGAAAACCATGTTTACAGAGAAGACCCAGCCATATTAGAAAGCGAGGAGTTTATATCAAACCAATAGTAATAAATTTGACTATTTTTTTGCTTCGAAGACAACAATAAAGATATTGGGAGGTTATTCTTATGTACCAATAGAATTTTGAAAGCTTTCAGCTAAAACCAACTATTTTATACTCTTATGTTAAAATAATACCAGTCTAAAAGTTTAGAGAAAATCGAATTTAAAAATTAAGCACTAGAAGATGCTCCTCATGCTTCATTAGGTATAAGCTCACAATAAAATCAGGTCCTTGAATTATCGGATGTCTTTGATTTTGGCTAAAAAATTGGTTTATGTTACAAACATTTTCAAATAAAAACAACTTAAATATTAATGTTCATATTAAACGTCATTCTTCCTGGCTTGAGGATCTGAATCTTCTGCCTCGTATCATATCTAAAGGAGAGGTAAGTATTAGGCTAGATCATTGCACTAAGTATTCCTGTAATGTATAATAAACAGCTTTGCATCTACCACTCTATTGCAGAGAAAGATTGAGATCTGTTCATATCAAGCAAGGAGTTATTAGAAATTATGAGAATTTTAAGGAAAATTTAGGCAAAGAATAACTCATACGCTAATTTCCTGGCCTGTAGTCTTCTCTTGCTAGTCCCCTTTGACAATTCAATTACTTTTTCTGGTGTGAGGATCTATATTTTAAATTAGGAACTCTATTGGAGGTTTGGCTCTAAGAACATTAATCATTCTGTAAACTATATAGGTCCATCCTATCATAAGCTGAATACAAACAGAATTTTAAAGAAAATTTATACTTGATCAACGGGTCTAGGCAGGGAGATTTTATCTAAAATATGAGTCTAAACAGTACAATTCTTGCGGAGTCTTTTGGACATGAAGGAATCATTAGTTTTAGTCATGTACAGCTGGTCAATCTTCTTAAGTACAACTCTTCTAATCTTCTCAATATTATCATTAGACTGATGAATATGAGACCTTTTCAAGAAATTATTCTTATTTTGGACTCAATTTAATAGATTTCTTTGAAGTACTCAGACTTCTGTATTGCTGATAAGTTATCCTTAAAGATCTATAGATATAAAAGCTCCAAAGTCTGAGAAAGATATGGAAAGATTGAGTAATTTTGGATGAACTTACTTCTCCTTCATTTTGCACTTTCTCTTCATAGATTCCAGATTAGTCGAGTTGACCTTGCTAGGAATATAAAAGGGTTTATTTGAAAATCATTGGTTTAGGGAAACAATCCTTAGTTATAATGTCTATGTTCTAAAATAAGACTTACTTATCCCATTTTGTGACTGAACGTTTATTTCCATTTTATTTTATTTATGACTCAATATTCTTCATGCCATTAGGGGTTTTGGGGTTTTGGGGTTTTGGGGTTTTGGGGTTTTGGGG